TTGAGCTTCCAAAAACTTGACCACCAGGAATCTGAGTCCCAAAACCACCAGAGCAACAGCGAACATGAACATAAAACCAAAACTACATTTCAGATCAAGACTTCCCAGTGTCCGTAAATATTCAAACTTCACTTTATGATTTTATCAATATTTAACTCAGTGCGAAATTAAAACAAGATAAGTATATATTCTAGGCTTCTTGATTCTGCAGTTCACTAACATGATATGGTGAGACAACACTGCAAATCAGAAAGAGTGGATTGTGTTCTGGCTTCTGCTGCATCTTGATGACAAGGATTTCCCACTACTTGACAAAGATCTTTTCATTGAAATTGGCCCCTTCTGCAATGAACGTCTTGTAGAAGAATTTTTCATCAGCTTGTGAAAGCCACTACCTCCCCTCTTCGCAGCGTTCTTCGATTTCGGCTGCTTTGGTTGCACCAATAAACTATCCGAGTTAGCTTGACATTTACCAGGAGCAACATTAGCAAGCACACTATAAATTGCAGAAGCTGTAGAGAAATCCAATGACACAGACCTCCTCACAGGTTGCATTTCTTCTTCTACCACAACCAATTTGTCAACTAAATCACTTCGTATCCGAGGATTCCTCGATATAAAGTGGTTCGAATTCCAGCTAGAGTTTCCAGCATTTGATTCATCTACAACTGGTAATCCACAGATGGTTTCTTCTCCATTTCTCACTTCACTGCTTCCATCTTCTCCTGCATGGTTACTGCTCATTAGTCCACTGGGAGTATTATTCTCAGAATTTTCCATCTGGGGTTCTTCCCTCGAACTCAAATCACCTGTAGTAGACACCGTTAAAGCAACTTGAGCATCAAAATTGTCGGCTACAACCGGGGCACGACAAAGAGGGCAATTCTTGTGTGATCTTAACCATGTATCAATACAAGGCATGTGAAAAGCATGGCTACACTTTGGTAAAAGTCTCAGACTCTCATCTTCTTGAAATTCACTCAAGCAAACAGAGCACTCTGTACCATCAATCAGCCCTTCGTCTTTCTTAAACTTGAAGACTGTTATTGAGTCGATCACAGATTGTTGGAGACCTGAGAAGTTGATGTACCATATGTGATGGTTGATTTCTGTTCCTTGATCTTCATCAAGAAAATCCTCTTGGGTACCAAAAAATACTGGTAGACTTCTTGACCTTCTTGAATTTTGATGCCTGTTGTAGCAAAGTCTTGAAACTAGGCATAGGATTCCCAAAAGAACTGCACCACCAAACACACAAGCCATGATGATGAAGCTGGTTCCGCTTCCATTATGTCGGTTTAGGTTATCGAGAACTTGTGGAGAAGGTGGTATTGGAGGACCTAAATCATGTTTTTCCCCTTTTACTAATTGAATCTTGTAGTTTGCATACGAGTTCATTCTTGATCTTGGTAGTTTTCTTTGATCAAACTCCATTTTTCTCTCTCACAAAAACAGAGGAAACAGGGGATAGAGACGCATCTTAGGTGTGTGGAGAATAAGGAACAAGGAAGACAAGATGGGCGCCGTTTACTTACAACCATAATGTATGGTCTTGAATTAGTGATAAAGGAGACTTTTGGTTCCATTTTTTCCACAAATTTGACACATTTCGCTTTCGATTTAACACAAGCATTTACCAGGTTGATTCCATTTGTTTTCTTTGCCCAAGTCAATGGATCTTTATGGTCATTTACGCGTTAACTTCGATTATGGGGTTCAATTCAATGGTCACAACGAGTGTGAAATAAATAAATAAATAATAATAATAATAATAAATATAGTTGCTTTGTGTCTGTACATGAGACAATGTGTTATGAATTATAGCAGTAAAGCGGTGATTTTACCTTTCATAACCAAAAACAGAAGTAATGAAATGGTCATCCGAGATAAATTAGTGTTTATATATATTATAGGAATCATTTATTATTGTTATATTGATGAAGGATTGATTAGTTTTTTCATATTTTTGATGCACATTGCAATGATTTAGATATTCTTAAAAATAAAAAATAATTAGGATCGAAGAGCTTTCAAATCTTTTATACTTTAATTACACAATGTAATAATAAAACTGCATTTAAACAAAAATAACATCCAAGAGATTTTTTTTCTAATAATTTTTTTTAGTTATAATCATATTACACGAGGAGCAATTTAGTATATCATATTAAACAAGAGCAATTTAGTATGTTATTAAATATAATAAATAATTAAAAAAAATGATTGATACATGCATAATATATACTAGAAATGAAAAGTGTTTACACTCTTTAAACGATACATGTAACACCTTCTAGTGATCAAATGGTGTCTTTAATGATTGCATTGGAAGCATTGTATCGTCTTCTTTATAGTGGTTAAGCACTTGTATATGTAAAAATTATGATTTTACTACTTTTTCTTCTTCGTCTTTTAGCTCTTATCATCTCAATTTTTTTAATTGTTATTTATTTTTATCATTTTCTTGAGTTATTTTATTTTTCAATTTCACTTCGTATTGTTTTATTTTACTTATTTTCTATAGTAGATTTAATCTTTATTATTTTAATTTCTATCTATTTTGTTTTTAATTTTGGATGATTAAAAATTTTGCTTATGATTTTTTCAGCTTTGTCTGCTATAGAGTAACCTAATCTTATTATTCGGATCATGAGTTTTGAATGTTAGCTAAATTTGACTTTGATATTTTTTTTAGATTCTTTTTTTAATCGATGTTTTTATTTTTATTTTTATTATTTGACATTAAGTTATTGATCCTTCAATTTTCTTATTTTGATGCTCCCTGTTTTATAGAGTTATCACAATCTTATATTAAGAGCCAGAGATTAGTCAAGTTGACTCGAATTTTTTAATGTTTTTATATCAATTTTTTCTTCTAGTTGATTTCAAAGTTTTATTCAATTTTTTTTTGTACGAAGTTATCTCGATTTCACACACAGGTTGCAAATTTGATTTTTAGTAATTGAGCTATAATTTTTTTTTTACTTTATAAGATAATTATATTCTTATTTAATTTGTATTTTGTTATCAAGTAAAATTATTGAGACTTAAAAAAACATTAAAGAATATATTTTCATAATATTAATAAGCGTTAATTTTTCTTTATTAGTCATTGCTATTGTTTTTTTTTTATAGTCATTGATTTTATAATCATATTATTAAATTAATCAATTTTATTAAACACATTCAAATCAATATTTAAATCAATGATCCAAATCCTAAATTTCTTTTACTTCTTTAAAAACATAATCATTATCTAGGTATCCTTTTTTTAAGCTAGAAAAGTTTTTAACCAACTTGCGACATAACATAAGTTATTTATCTAGTCATTAATGTAGAAAAGATACATTATAACATCCCACATTTCAAAATGAATTACTAATAGAACACAATTTTTACATACAAAAAAATGAGGCCACTTTTTTTCAATTGAAGATTTCGTTACTAACACTGGTTTTCTAATTTTAAGACCGGTTTTTAACATTCTCCTCTTCTCATAAAATTTTGACCCCAAAATTTAAATTCATTCCTAAGCCTGGAAATAAGATCTGGATACATCCTTTTCATTTCCAACTCCTTCTCTCGGTCTCTTCTTCTGTTTGGGAATTTCTATAGTATTTTTACGAAAGAAACCTTCATGTTCCTCAGTCCCTTTTCACTCCAATATGGTGTCTTCACTGACTTTATTTCTAAGGTTAATTGCTCTTGATCTCCTTTAGAAACTGTGGTAAGAGCTATGAGGGATCCACCTTCGCCTTTCAAAATAAAGATACATGGAATATAACCATCTAGGTGGTAGTCAAGTGGTAAAGACTTGGGATCAAGGGGTTTGCTCCCTCTGTGGTCTCAGGTTCGAGTCCTTGGTTGCTCATATGATGACCACTGGAGGCTTACATGGTCGTTAACTTCAGGGCCCGTGGAATTAGTCGTGGTGTACGCAAGCTGGCCCGGACACCCCCATTAATCTAAAAAAAAAAAAAATACATGGAATACATTATATATTTTAGCCAAATACAAGGGGCAATATCAATCGATAAAAAATAGGTCTAATTCTTTCTATGATCTTAAATGGACTAATGTACCTTAGTGTTAGTTTGCCCTTCATTCTAAATTGGATAATATTTATCCAATGTTCGGCCTTCAAAAACACTTTTCTCCCACTTGAATCTCTAATTATCTCCTCTGATTATTTGCGTTACTTCTTCTTTTTTTTTTAATCTTGGGTTTCTTTTATTCTTTTCCTAATCATCGTAACCTCATTAGTAGTCATTTGAATGAATCCTAGTCCTAAAACAATTAAAGTCTTTTCTTTCATATAAAGTTTCATAAAAAGTCATATAGACTGATAACTATTATTATACATGAATTCTACAAAGGACAGATGATCTTTTCGAAGTCCACCAAAATCAAAGAAACAAGATCTCAATATATATTCAAGTATCATAATCATTTTCTCTAATTAATTATCTATTTATGAGTGAAAAATTGTGTTTAAGTTCAATCATGGCATGTTATATATTCGGCCACAATGAAGTAAATTTATTTTCTAATAAGGTTGTAATATTTTTTTTTGAATATTAGCTAATGCTTTTTGTTTTTTAGTGTCTTTCATTTTTTTTCTCTTAAAATTTGATTAGAATTAGCTATAATTAAATAGATAAGATTGTATTTAAGATATCATTTCATTAGAAATCTTGTAATTGTCATATAATAAAGTCTCGGGTTAGTGTAGATAGGTTTTTTTATTATTTACTAGGAAATATAAATTTTGATTCATTTTATTAAATGTATCTATCGTTTTTTTATTAACAGTTAAAACCATTTTCTTAATATTAAAATACAGATTAACAACTTTTACATATTTATTTTCTATGACGAAGAAATGTTTTGATTCAACCTGCGCTGCTGGCACAAAGCTCATAGCTAGCCAACAACCATTTAGGGCAACGACAGAGATTTATTTTCTTTCTTTTCGTTAAATGTTTGGATTCGAGTCTTGGTGGCTGTCATAAGTGCTAAACCCATGTTTAATTCTCATGTCGCAGGGAATTTTTCGAGTTTCCTCCCCAAGACAATGGAAACTCTGCAAATATATTATGGGGGACTTGACGCTGTGTTTCTTAATGAAACTATATATGGAGTAGATTATTTTCACCAATATTTAGGAAAACAACAATCATAATTCATAGATTGTTGTCATTTTTTGTTTTTTTCTTTTTAATGTAAGTTGGACATTTTTATTCTAACATGGTTAATGGTTGTATTTAAGTGTTTTTTTAAAATTTAATTTTTTATATTTTTATATAATTTTAATATATTTCTAAATAAAAAAATAATATCACAAACACGTCCGCTGGGTTAACGTATCTGCCCACAACCTGACGTCTTTCCCTTACCAACCCGTTGTTTCTTTCCTTCACGTCTCGTATTGCCATCTCGTTCAAAAATTATCGTCATAAATCCTTTAAGCAAATTAGTCTTGAAAATGGCAGGATGGCCAGCATCAAACAACCAGAAGATGAATTCTAGAGCTTTGAAAGAGAATGATTTGTTGTTGGGCCCCTTGCTTTCTCCAAGTTCTGGTCTTGACTTGATGCAGAATTGTGACCTACCTCCTCCGTTGAAGGTCTTTTCTGGGTCAGATAAGACTGTCATATCATCAATGAATAGGGCTTTTAGCATGATTGGAAGGGAACATGATCATGATGATTTCGATGTGTATAGAGGTTGCGGTGGTGAGAATTATGAGAAGTTGGAGCTTTTGAAGGCATTAAGGTTGTCACAAACAAGAGCAAGGGATGCAGAGAGGAAGGCTGCAAGTTTGATCAAGGAGAGGGATTGTGTTGCCAATGCTTTTGTTCCACGATTCCTTTCAGTTATTTGCTTATCGCCAATGGGTGCGGTTGCTTGAGTTTCAAGTTTTGAAGGCACAAGAACAATGGCAACAGCAAGAAAAGAAATTGTGTTGTGGTTGTGGTAGATCAAAGGAGGTGAAAGACCAGCTGGAAGAAGAGGGTTCAGACGATGGGAGCAGGGAGTATTGGATAAATGTGGCTTTGAAATTTTTTCTGGGCTTCGCTGGCTTCGGACTCGCATTTGGTTGCTGTTATTTGTTATGATCTTTCTGCTCACCTTCTTACACTTTTGTGATGACTGGACCAACGTTCTAATAAGGAACAGAGCATGAACAAGAAGGTCCACTACAGGCTTCAGCGAAGGTTAACATAAGTAGCAGCAGCAGTAAGCACTATTGGACACAAAACAGGAGGAGAAAGCAATTAATATAGGAATTAATTTCGAAGTCCTCATTCAAAATGTCATGTCTTTTTAGTTCTTCTAGATGCATATGTATAAGTATTAATTAATGATATGATTATCTTATTAACTATCTAGAATTATCCATAAACTGTATTAAAAGAGTGGTAATCCAAGTCCAAGTTTACGGAACTTCCTCTCTTAGAAAAGTAATATTATACGAATTAAATATGTTTCCACCATGCTTCCCATCCTACTTGCTCCTCTAATTCTTCCCAATAAGAGCTGCAAACAGTAGCTAAAAGCATGGGCTCAGGG